ATAAAATAAGCTTTGCTTGCATAAGATTTAACTATTTATATCAATTACGTATACGTACATACATACGTATTGGTATCAGATATCAGTATCTATATATCAATTACCTGATCTGATTATGTTATACAAGTTTTGGTTAAGCAAAAATAAGACATTTAAAAGTAAAACAAAAGAACATCTAAGAAAATAATTAAATCTGCTTTGTGGCTTGAATTAAAATGGCAAGAATGAAATTTAAATATAAAAAGTAAATATTTTTTATAATTTCAAACTCTAGCCAATCCAACTTTAATGCATTACTTCAAATCTCAATATACTTATAAGAAATCAGCTCATTATTTGAACAAATAATCAAAGATGCATAAAATTGCCAATCCAACTTTAATGCATTACTTTATATCTCAATATACTTATAATAACTCAGCTAATTATTTGGTCGAATAATCAAAGATGCATAAAATTATACTGAAATATGTAAAATATATAATAAATGAGTTATAATTTAGAAGTTAAAAATTATAATTAATGTCAGTTAAAAATTGGATATATATACTTATGTTAAAAACTATAAAATTTTACAAGTATTTAAATAATAATGAATACTTTAAGTCTTTATAATAAATTCAGAGATCAGAAAATCAAATTTTATGGTCCTTGCAAAAATTATATTGAAAAATCCCCTGCTATTGTAAAAAGCACAAAGGCAGTCTGGCAGATATACGAACCTGGAAAAAACATAATCCTGAACAACCCATTCTATCTATCCACTCAAAACGAAATACAAGGCATATTGTTCGAGATGATACCAAAAAAATTTAGATATCGAAAATGATATGTTTTGTTCAGATGAAGAAAGTGAAGCTTTTTTTTCAGATGCAGAAAATGGATTTTATTTCGACTCTGATTCTAATATAGATATGATGGATGTTATTAACAATGTCTATAATATGGATACAGTGGATGTCATTAACAATTCCTTTAGCTTATCTACTACTAATAGTCGTTCTATGTTTAAAAATGTTACTAATAATTTGTCAAATTTAACCTATATAATTAAAATGGATGAAAATAGTGCAAGCAATCTAAATACAATACATAGTGAAGATGATAGCAAAAGCGATTTGATTGGTACATCAGAAGAGCCATTAAGTGATTTTGATAATGAGCTAGTAATATTGAATAAAATGATAGTATAGAAGTTCATCAAACAATAAATTATGAGACAAATTGGATAATTCTTTGAACATTAAAATACCAAATGCGATTCAAATCTTCTGACGTCGCTATTAAAATTCTTATAAAATTTTTAAGAAATTTATTTATGAATATTGACCAAGAACATTTTAGTAAATTA